ACAACTCTCGGTTGTGCCGAGTGTTACCAACAGCACTGTCACTTACAACATTCCGTTGTGCGGAGTGTTACCAACAGCACTGTCACTTACAACATTCCGTTGTGCCGAGTGTTACTAACAACACTGTCAGTTACAACATTCGGTTGTGCCGAGTGTTACCAACAGCACTGTCAGTTACAACATTCCTTGTGCCTAGTGTTACCAACAGCACTGTCACTTACAACATTCCGTTGTGCCGAGTGTTACCAACAGCAATGTCACTTACAACATTCGGTTTTGCCGAGTGTTACCAACAGCACTGTCAGTTACAATACCAAGAAAATATATAAGAGAATATTCAAATTTTCTAATAAGGTTATTGTTAGTTTTTTTTTAATGGTGATTTATTAATATATTTAGTTTTATGATATATCACAGTATTGTTATGACTAGCAGTGTTACCACTGAGGTGTATTATTTACTTATTGATTGAAATCGTTAATTTAAATAAACCTTAATTGAATGCGAAGTGACGGCTGAATATTTGATAATAAAAATAACTCGCTTGACTGGGGAATGTACATTCATTTTATTGCCTGACAGTAAACAGGTGCCAGAATAACCACACAACACGAAGAACAATATGATTATTAATTAATAACATAGTTCTGGCCCGAGGACAAAATGTAATTATTTTATACTGAATATTATTATTACTCATTTAAGAATAAGGACCACCACTACACTTACGTTAGATTAAATCATGTTAAAATATTGGGAGTTTTATTAGAAGCAAACGTGGGGAAAAATTCATTCTCCAAGTGTATTTGGCCAAAGTCACTATAATTATACCAGCCGTGTAACATGGTTAGGTTATATATATATATGTGTGTGTTTGGTAAATTATACGTGTCTAGAAGATAGCTAACTTTACAATAATCCTCTTTAAGATAACAGATATTAACTAGGAAACGTCAAGTAATGTATTAGAGTTATTTGAAAGACCAAAACCAACAAATTTTGTTGCAAATAAAGTCATGAATTTACTTCCGCATTCAGGAACCAAACCCTAATTACTCATCAGCTGAATCTGTTCTTCCGCGCAAAAAAAATAAAATAAACCTAACACCCCAGCGGTTGTTAACATACTTTCAATTCACGGGTGTAATAAGCAACTAATGTCCAACTAAACGGGAGTTACAACGCCAGTATCATCAACTGGATCACTGGTGTGACGTCGAGATCCCGTTGATGACTGGGATCTCACGATCTTAGGATTATACAGCTTGGGATCAGACACCATCCGAACGAAGAAACTGCGCTTGTACCTAAGAGATTGACGTTTCTTTCGGTCTAGCATGAAGACTTCGTCCACAGACTCGTCTGTATTTTCCTTGTTGTCTTCATCTTCTTCCTCCTGTCGCTAACGGAAGAGACGAGGACATACAGTTATAATACTAGATTATAGTCGCTATTTATTTGGTGTGGGCGAGGAATAAAATTTCAAATGTGTTCATGTATCCAGTTGGACACGAGAGAAAAGTCATCAGTTGGTTTTCGAAACCGAAACTGGGCCAAAATTGTATAGCGCCTCCTTGCGACATGTTTGTGAATTATTAAAAATTGTCGAGACGTACCAGAAGTTTTGTTTGTTAGTTAGTTTGATGTAAAGCACAAAGCTACGCAATGGGCGATTTATGCTCTGACCATAGCGGGTATAGAAATCCGATTTTTAGCGTTATTAGCCCACTGGCTGACCGCTAAGCCACCGGAGAGGAGATAGACATATTTGAAGATATGGGCAAAAAAGGGGTCGCCCATACTTTATTAAACTATTCCGCGAAACTTTCCCTGATCATTAAGTGTGGTTTAGGACTTTTTATTTGCATTAATGGATAAGTATTAATTAGTTTTTTTATTTTTTTATCGAACGGTTTTGATGTTTCAATCAAAATCTTTCTGTCAGTTTAATGAAAAATTTTAAACTTTCCTTTGAAAGTTTTGAATGTTTATAATAATTGTAATAACAATAATATTGAGGATGAATATGAAATCTGGACGATTATAATACTCCAAAAAACTATGCGCATCACAAACTGTTAATCACACGATTAAAAATGCTACAACTTATAAATATAAGTTTATCGACGTAATTCGTTGATCAATGAAATAAAATTTTGAAATAACGCAGAGGAGATAATTGATAAAATAGCCAATCTAATGAATACACGACTTTTTTTTACGCTATTTTGAAACTCGGCTCGCCCACATAAAACAGTCTTTATCAGCAGTGTCCTGGGGACGGTAATAGATTGACCGCCAAAACTTAGGTTATTAAATAAATTAATATTGAGTAGTTTGAATTAGTAAGTAATCTATTATAATAATACTCAGTTTCTGTTTGTCCTGAAAATGCGTATGCACATGCACTTTCATTACAACGAATCTAAACAAAAGGCGGATGTAAATATACTTTAGTAGACATTTTGTTCAACAGCATATTAAACATTTATCAAAGTTTATAAAAAAGGTTTAACGTAGAATAACGTTATAAGCTTATTTACTGATAGTATTAAGTACGGTAAAGTTTAGCCCTAACTAAACTAAAGCTCATAAGATGTACAAAGTTATAGCGTTAATTTATCTCTTTATCGAATACAGGCTAAACTAATGTTAGGCCTAAGAGAAGTAGACTTATAGATTTCTGTCTGCGAGGCTAAACTAATGTCAGGTCTAAGAGAAGTAGACTTATAGATTTCTGTGTCTGCGAGGCTAAACTAATGTCAGGCCTAAGAGAAGTAGACTTATAGATTTCTGTGTCTGCGAGGCTAAACTAATGTTAGGCCTAAGAGAAGTAGACTTATAGATTTCTGTGTTTGCTATTAGAATTCTTCTGTATTATTCTAAAAAGTCTGTATTTAAATAACTATTGTTACGACAGCGGAAGTCACGTGACTCTGGTAACACGTCATGAAATTCTAAAAGGATCATGAAGGCCCGAGCGGTTTCTAGGTGCCCTCTATTTTAATATAAAGAGGAGAGGAGAAGTGACGGCATAGAGAATGACAGATAGACAAATATATAGACAGATAATTGAGTCAAGCGAGCGGTAGTGACCGTAAATAAAGTGCGTGAATTGTTGTGAATTATAGCGTGTATTTATAAAAGAAGTTAACTTTAAAGTGACTGTGAAAATTAAGTGTATTACAAAGTTTGTAAGGAGAAAGAATAAACTAGTTTTAATTAAGAAAGAACTCGTATCGCCGAAGTTCCTCGGGAAGAATTAATACCGGAAATTAACAAACGACCAGAGACGTAACATTATTGTTTCAATAAAGATGCTAGTTTAACCGCATATGTTTAGAAGGTCTCTGGTAGTACAAGATTAAATACAGGTTACTATTTAATGACTGAATTCTGATATCTATTAACTACCAAGTAAATTCTGTTCGTTTTTATAAACCAACTTACAGTCGGATATTATCCTACTTAATCATAATTTTACCTTGTTTTTCTCTTTGTTGTCCATTTTCATGATCTCGTACAAGTCTGATGTAAATTGTGTGATGACTTCCCATGCATGTGAAATGTCATCATCAGTTGCCTGCTGTGCGCATACGCAGAACCTGATGACGTAACGGTCGTTCAGTGATGCTGGTACCATGTGTAGCTTTCCAGATGCATTAATAGACGATAACAGCTTTTGGTTCAAGTTGTTAGAGCCCTAGGAAAGGTTCGTGAAAGACATGGAAAGTAATTTTTCTTTCTGATTTGTTTTTTTTAAAGTCGTGTAATATTTATACGAATGAAGAAACCAAACAAAATTGTGAAAAAGCTTCATTAAAAGCAATTAAATAAAAGTACCACATAATTACTCAACCAGTTCTTAGGGTATATATAATATTAATCTAAGATAATATATAAAACTAACTATTTCCTAAATTATAAACCACATAAAAGAAGTTAAAACGTATAAGATAAAGAAGAAAAACTGTGTACGTGAAACGATATTGTTTTTAGAGATCGTACCCTGAATTTTGTGAATTATTAAACTCATTTCATTTGAATTTGAGCACGTTTTTTTTCTCGATTCATGCCATTCAGGGCCAGCAGAGGGCTGGGCCCTCTCTTAGGCCAGGAGATATAGAAGGTCAGGTGAAAATAATTTAAACGTTTTATCAATTTGAGAAATGCCAAATAAATGAACACTTGTTATGGAGTGAACGTTTCTTAGCTGGTAAAGTATAATTATAATTAATTATTCTTGTCGTTAGTGCTAAGCCTATTATATTTTCTAGAAAGTTCTTTAGAGTTTTTCTCCGTCAAGCCCACTTTACCTTCAGACGAAAACAAACTAATCCTAGATGAACGTTGTTTACAACCTCGAATCTGTCGTCCTTCCTTATCAAATTTTCAAATTTCTTAGCAAGTCGAACATGCTGTAATAAAAAGCTTTTATAACGTAAAAGTAACACTGACTTAAATTCACACGGTTAAAAATAACTTAATATAATTTAAAACTGATTTATTTAAAGACGTCTTGGCTTTTGCCTTCGTTAGGGAGGTTTGTTGTCGTTCTTATTCTTGTTTTAACAGTGGACTAACTAATCACCTGGAGGAATCGTACCCAGAATTTTAGCATTGTAAGTCCGTAAACATACCGCGGATCCACGGGGGGTACAGGGTGGTTTTTTATGGCAAGGTTCAAATTATGTCTTCACTTTTGTAAGTAAAGAAAAAAAAAAGTCAATCTCTTTTGAAATTACGAGTCATTTGTTTTTGTTAGAAAATGTCAAGATACAACTTAATGTAACCCTTTCTAGACTCGGATCATTTTATTCCTACGTCTGCAGACGAAAGGCGGAAAACGTTTCAAAAGGTCGTATTCTACACTTAAGCTGCGTGAGTAGAATGTATGGCCACCAATATATTTCAACAAGACCCATATTATTGTTCACACCATACGTAACATCTGAAGACTCCATTTTTAAAGATGTCTTCCATTTCAGAAACACATTACACCGACTCAATCTTAAAGCCTTAATGTCACATTTCACTGAAGTTCCCGCCAATGAAGCTTGTAACCATGGCGTCCGCAGGGGGGGGGGGGGTCAAGGGGAGAATTGCTCCTTAAAAATGAGAAACATAATTTTTTTTATTCATTCATCATATGTATATTAATTTTTTATTCACTTCACAATTTCACATACTTTGCCCCCCCCTGGAAAAAATTTTGCAGACGCCCATGTTTGTAACATTGCACTCAACCTCATATCAATAAACCCCATCTGTTAATTCATATCCCCATAAAATTTACTTCGACTAAAAACTGACTTCATGTTCAAAAACAAAGATTTTTCATCACATGGTTTAAGCATGAGCACTCCTGTTTCACCTTTTATTGTTAACAGATATATGGCACATAGCGAAACACAAGTCATAGTTATATAGATATGTCAATGATACTTTTACCAGATGCACTTCTAATGAAAACATGCTACATTTCTGTGAACATATAAGTTCCTAAATACCCAATCAAAGAAAAGTAAAAAAAAAAAACGTATTAAGATTGGTTTGAATTTCGCGCAAAGCTATACGAGGGCTATCTGCGCTAGCCGTCCCTAATTTAGCAGTGAAAGACTAGAGAGAAGGCAGCTAGTCATCACCACCCACCGACAACTCTTAGGCTACTCTTTACCAACGAATAGTGGGGTTGAAAGTCACATTATAACACCCCCACGGTTGAAAGGGCAAACATGGTCGGTGTGACGGGGATTCAAACCCGCAGATTGCGATTCGAGCGCCCTAACCACCTGGCCATGCTTATTAAGAACAAAAATGTTTCTTTTTCTGAGGGACTTTCACGGCGAATGCGCCAAAGGATTGGACTGACTGCACATTTTAAAGTGAAAAAAAGGAAGTAGATGTAGGGATGGCTAATACCAATCCTTCAAAAACAATGCAAACAAGATAGTAGGCATGCTTACATGTCTAGAAAACAGTTAGCTTAATTGAATAGTGATACAAGTAAAAAAAAAAATGTTTTCGTTGCAGTAAAACCTACATTGTGAAGTTGTCTTAATGTACCGGTCCGGCATGTGGGTCGCGGGTTCGAATCCCCGTCACACCAAACATGCTTGCCCTTTCAGCCGTAAGGGCGTTATAATGTAACGGTCAATCCCACTATTCGTTGGTAAAGAGTAGCCCAAGAGTTGGCGGTGAGTGGTGATGACTAGCTGCCTTCCCTCTAGTCTTACACTGCTAAATTAGGGACGGCTAGCGCAGATAGCACTCGTGTAGCTTTGCGCCAAATTAAAAAAAAAACTTACTGTACCATTACTTTCATTATATCTTGTGGTAAAAAAAATATAAGACTTTAGGTAATAAAACATGTCATTTGTAACACTGTTATTTATTCTTTTATTATAAGTTCATTAACTTGAACGATAAAACGTAAACTATGAAAGAGAAAATAAGATGCTTACGTCACGAATGTATTTCTGCAGACCCTCTACTCCATACTTGCGAATGACGAACCAAAGTTTAAGAGCCCGGAAACGGCGACTGAGAGGAATTCCCCAATGCTGACAAAGTTTAGAAACACAAAAAGGACTTTTAGAATCTTAACCCTGATTTATATGTCTGGAATTTAAATCTAAGCCCTACGAAGATTTTCAAGAAGCCAACTAACCTCCTGATGACAGCTTCTCAAACGTAATAGAAGCCAACTAACCTCCTGATGACAGCTTCTCAAACGTAATAGAAGCCAACTTTCAAGTTTTTATTTTTAAAAAAACGCGTTAGACCAATATACACAAATATTTGGGTAGTAAAAAAATTTCTAAATATCAGTACATACAAACGTTATAAACTATAGCCACTGACAAAAAACCTTTATCTTCAGATATCTTTAGAGTTATCTTGTTACCAAAAACCCTTCACTTTGTACTATAAACGTTTTGTATTTCTTTCACATACACTGACTCTTTTAATCTTAAAGTTATTGTACTAGCTTAAGCCTAAGTTCAATGATCATAATAGTTATCCCAATCCTTTTATTTTTTCTATTATCGGCTATATTTTTATTATTTTAATATTTCTGTTCACTAGATGGGGGTTTGTTTTTTACTTGAATAATTATTGGTGATGTCAAGAAATTTCATGAAAGTTGAAGTCTCTGTAGAGACTCGAAGTTTACTGTACTGTAGTACGTAGGAAAACATTAAAATATAAAAAGCCAGAATGAGTGATTTAGAGTTAGTTAATCAGTTCAGTATCAGTTAGTAAGTTATACAGTGAGAGTTAGTGAGTCTCTTCGATTTTGATTCAGTCAGTAAGATACATAATGAATTAGTCAGTGTGTTTGGTATCAGTTGAGTATCGAGAAACTTCTCCAAATACGTTTATCAATAAATTAGACGTACATCAGTTTTGAAATTTTTGTTAAAACGTTGTTTGTGAAGTTAAGCCTACCAGTGAGCGTAGCCTATAGCAAACGTTACTGAAGAATGAAATCAAGTCAATTCGTTATACATGGACTTGACATCGTATTTTCTACCAATAGTCCAAAAGAACCCACAAAGTTATAGAACACACTATAACATTGGCATCAGAAGTGGGATTATTTTGGTGAAAATAAAATTGAATTTTGCCTACATTTCAAGATGACAACACGAGCACAAAGCGATATCGAAAATTTGCTGTAGTTGTTGAAACAGTGGAAAGAAGAACAAGCATAAAGAGAAAGAACATTTAAAGAAGATGAAGAAGAAAGAGACAGAAAATAAAAAAGGAAAAATTAAAGAAGACCAAATTACATTTACAGAAATATAAAAGAAGACCACGATTACAGAGAACTAAAAGATGCTATTGTTTACTTCGTGCAATCTGATGTCTACAAGTTGTCCACTGCAGGGAATCGAACCCCAGATTTTGGCATTGTAACTCCATAAATTTAGTACCGCCTTCTGGGAGGCCAAATTAAAAGAAGATCAAAGAGATAAGAGATGGTATTTTAAAAGAGGGGGTAAAAGAAAGGGACGTAATATATAAATAGAAATTAAGAACAAGAATGAATCTGATAGAAGACAAGACTGACGAATCTATTGGGGTGTACAGAAGAACAAAAAAGATTATGACAGCAAGATCAATGAATAAAGTAACCTCAATGACAGAATAAAACATTTGAAAAATAAACTGGTAAGTGCAAAGATCAAACCAGTCACACCTCTTTCTGCATCCAACCAAAAATTCCAACACAAACACCATTTACTGTAAAATATGTATTAGGAGAACCTATATGGTCTACACATGTTACCACTACTGCTGTGCCATTAGTAACTGCAGGATATTCCTGGACTACTCCAACGATATCACTACCAAATCCACTTCCAGAATTTATATAACCAGTTCAACAACATTGCCCAATCGAGAAACCAATGGACTCTACGGAAAGATACCTTGGGAAGCATATAATTCTGAGTTCGAAATATATTATAAAGTGAAAGGGTGGAATAGCGAACAACATTTTACTACCTATTTAAAAGGGTCAGCCGATAACTCTAACAACTATCACGCATTGATGGCTGCTATAACCAACACGTTAGGAGACACAGCAGAAGGAAGTATTCATAGCAAATTTTAGCTGAACTTAATTAAATATGCTACCCGGACGTATTATATGAAGTGAGGGTTCGTTGGCACATGACCAATTCATAGATTTCATGACAGAAGAAAATACTTAGAACGTGAATCCATTAAAGTCGGAGATATACAAATAGAAGCATCATTTAGAAGTTACGGGAAACACTATCTCCCTCTAGTGAACAAAATAATTAAAATTATAAAAATATAGCCCTAAACAAATTAATTAAAATTATAAAAATATAGCCCTAAATAAATTAATTAAAATTATAAAAATATAGCCCTAAACAAATTAATTAAAATTATAAAAATATAGCCCATAATAATATCTTTGGTTGTTTCAGCTATTCGTTCAGATGTATAGGTTTCAATATATTAAATATAGATATTATAAAAAAAAAGTACTCACTCTATAATCAATAGCTTTATCTGAAAAAGAAGATAATAAAACTGAATTAATGCATTTTAAGTCCCTTTTCACCATAACATTTTTTTTTAGTGAAACCATTACACCAATAAATATTGTAAATAAATCTGTAATCTTTTTAACTATCACTAATCTCATTAATGTTTATGAATTGAAGTTTTTAATTTTTTATAATAGTTTATGGAAAACGTTAAAAATGCATTGCGTGCAATAAGAATTTTACAGTCAGGTTATTAACTATAACGTGCATGCAATGAAAACAAACAATGAAGAATTTCACGTGACCTTACCAGAAAAGCTGTGCTGCAGGTACAACGGATCAACCACGAGAGCTTGAGTAAGTTTGAATCGATCTTTAACCCTAAAACAGTAACGATTGTTTTCAACATTGTTCACAGGTGCTGCCTAACCACCTACCGGTTGTTTCTACAATTACATTCACGAATACAATTAACATCTAAGATCTTTTACACAATCAAAATAGGGTTAGTTTGGAATTACTATTTCGTACTCCCCCCTATATTATTTGTGTTTCAGCGCAAAGCTACGCAATAGCTATCTGCATTCTGTCCACCACAGTGTATCGAACCCCGAATTTTAGCGCTGTAAGTCCGTAAACTGGAGAATTCTAGCTATGTGTTTTAAAATTTTGTTTCAGAGAAATAAATTACATTTAAGATGTTCTTTCTTTGTGTAACAATATTTTTTATATACAAATATAATCCAATAATGAATAAACGTAATGGATGTACCTTCTCTTCAAATTCAATTTAACGAAATTTATCCCACATAATAACTTAAGCATTCCTTACTTATTTAGCTTAATTTTGTTTATTGGACTTTGATTACTAATCCTTCTCCAGCTTTCGACGTTTAAACCTTAAAATAATGTTTACATACGTGCCACAAACTTTGTCGTCGGCGGAAAACTGGGGCAAAGTTTGCCCCTGATAATTGTTCGTTTGTAATTAAGCACAAAGCTACACAATGGGCTATCTGTACTCTGCCCACCACGGGTATCGAAATCCGGATTTTAGCGTTGACGTTGACATACCGCTGTGCCACTGGGGGGCGCCCCTGATAAAGAAAGGTTTATTTTTAGAAAACACTCAGATCAGAGGCGTCACTAGGCACTGGTACACGGGGCTCGTGACCCGACTCTATTTGACAGCGTCCCGATTCTCCAGTTATTGTCTTGAAAAATCAGAATAGAAAATCACGATCGATATCATACTGAAAAACCAAAAATTCCTGCGTTTTTGTGCCCGAGCCCCGAATCTTTTCAGCACTTAGCGACGCCTCTGACTTAAGATATAGTTTTTCTTATTTTTGTCTTTAAAAAATTATTTTTTGAACCTACGTGTTTTCATAACACCGTTTAGAAATTTAACACTGGGCCGTTGTTGAACGATTAAAACACAAAACTTATGTCATTGTTACAAAATTAAACTTAACTCATTGTTGAATTTTGATATTGTCTTTCATACGTTTCAATAAACAAGTTAAAACACGACAATGTTGAGTTCGCAGGTTATACAACTCACCACAGAGCTGAACAATCAGATTCTAGACCTCATCCTAGTGTTATACAAATTACAAAGTTAAATCCCATTACTGTAAACAGATTACAACTCACCACATTGTTGAACAATCAGATTCTAGACCTCATCCTAGTGTTATACAAATTACAAAGTTAAATCCCATTACTGTAAACAGATTACAACTCACCACATTGTTTAACAATCAGATTCTAGACCTCATCCTAGTGTTATATAAATTACAAAGTTAAATCCCATTATTGTAAACAGATTACAACTCACCACATTGTTGAACAATCGAAGTTCAACAGCATCCACTTATTTGGATTCATGTTGAACGACGAGGCGTACTAAAAAAGATATCCACCATTATAATTATTAATCTCCAACATTAACAGCATATACAAACAATAGTAAGTAATGTTTAGTTAATACTTAGAGGCACTGCTAAGTAATTTATACGAGATTAAAAAAAAGAAACAGTAAGCCTAAAAAAGCAACCAATAAATAATAATTGTAATAATTTAATAAGTAATTTTAATGATAATGATTTTAATAATTCTATAATTAATAATAACAATTTTAATAATTTAATAATTAATTTTAATAACTTAATAATTAATTTTAATAATTCAATAATTAATTGTAATAACTTAATAATTAATTTTAATAATTCAATAATTAATTTTAATACTTCGATAATTAATTTTAATAATTCAGAGTTGTTTACTTCAATTCCTCTCATTAAATACTGGAATTCAGGACATATAAAAGCACTTCCAGCATATGCAGCATCCACGTGCAGCCAAATCCCATCTTTTTGACAAACTGGGCCAATTTCGTACAGAGGATCGAAGGAGCAGCAAGATGTTGTTCCCAAAGTGGCCATAACCTGAATTAGAAAAACAAACTGTATATATTATCAGTGCTATTAAAAGTATGGAAATCTACGAACTAACTTCCACTTTGAGAAAAACTATAGTGGAAAAGGGGGGTCCAAATCTTATAAAAACGGGTTTAGTGGTTAGGTATGGGTCTTACAGATTGGTAGATCCAAGTTTAGAGCTACATTGGACTGATAAATAACTCCGCAGTATCAGCTATGGAACACTATATCTGTGATAGTCAAACCTGTTATACGATTTTAAGTTCCTGCACAAAATGTGACTGGTGTTGTTCTCTCTAACTAAGTTAACTTGAACTGTAGGGGTCTCGAACCTGGCTGTTTAGTTCTGGTATCACATACAGTACCATTGACATGGTAAATTTCAAATACCAAAAATCATTCATAGAACCTGAACTTAACCAGATCAGCTCAGATTGATTTATACTCTGCATGTAGTAGTGAACCAGATCAGGTCAGAGTGATTAACACTGTATATCTAGTTGACCCCCCCCCCCAGTGGCACAGCGGTAAGTCACGCTAAAAATCCGGTTTCGATACCCGTGGTGGGCGCATCACGGATAGCCCATGGTGTAGCTTTGTGCTTAACTACAAACAAACAAACATCAAGTTGTTTTGTAAATAAAACTACATGTTATTGCGTTGTAGAATATTAGCACCCATAGAAAACTCAGCACGGCACCCTTAACATCTTAAAGAAATGGGTAAAGCCCTCTTTATGGGGGCTGAAGTTTGGTTCTTAAGGTCTTTTTTTTCTTCTTGGAAGACTGTAGTTCGAGTCCAGTAAATGAGCCGAATGTTCTTGTATCATGGTATACTTCTAAAACAATTCTGACAACTCACCAGAACAGATTACCAATTAATACCATTGCTTATTGAATTTGCCCCTATAAAGTATAGGATAAACAAATTGAAATGATTTCTAAACAGAGTACTCTATATGATGACGTGGTGTAACAGAGTTTTTCCACTTGGGTCTTTTATCAAATATATTACACGATCTTCTACAGTCAAATGGCTTATTGTGTGTTTGGTGATTTAAGACCGATCTAACTGTTACATAAGAAGGTCTTGAGGCTTGAAATAGGCCATTTTTACACAGCACCTGTTCTAACAGATTTAAGGAATACAGACTTTTCACTATTTATCAGGCCCGTGTTTACCGCTTCATTTGTGTTTCTAAAGATATTCAATCCTGAAATGAATTTGTTAATACCCTCTAGAGAAAAAAATATATATTATTTTCGTCATACAAATATCTATTACTGTCTAAGAAGTTGTTCTATTTAAGTTCTAAGTTACCTTTTTGTTGTTGTTGTTGTTGTTGTTTTTTATTTTTAGTTCGCTTATTTTAAATCGCATGGTCAGGTGGTTAGGGCGCTCGACTCGTAATCACCGTCCCACCAAACATGCTCGTCCTTTCAGCCGTGGGTACGTTATAATGTGACGGTCAATTCCACTATTCGTTGGTACAAGAGTTGGCGGTGGGTGGTGATGACTAGCTGCCTTCCCTCTAGTCTAACACTGCTAAATTAGGAACGGCTAGCGCAGATAGCCCTCGTGTAGCTTTGCGCGAAATCAATAACAATCAAACAAACATACCTTAAATCATTTGAAATTTGTTGACTGGTCAACATCTAATATTAAGTTATTTAAATTAAAATGTGTAATTATGTATTCAATAATTTTTCAATTTTTGGTTTAACAAACGTGTAAATAATTTTTTCTTATGGTCACTTATCCTTCATGGCTGTAATTTGATCAACTAATAAAAAAAAATAATACTAACGTATCTTAGGTGACGTCACTAACGAGGATTTAGTCAGCATACGTTTGCAATGTTTGAGCCGAAGAAAGGGAATTCGGGTTTTCTAAGTTTAGGGAAAACTATTTTAATTGTCTGTGTTGTTTTGAAGTTATTGTTACCATGTTTCTTATTGTTATTTTAACAAAATGCTTCGTGAGGCTTCGTGAAGGTTAAATTCGAACGTTCTTAACCTAGGTTTGACGCTGTATCTATATAAATATAATAGTACTGTCTATAGTCTGTCCATGTAACTACTTCGCAGGGTGTGGACGGATCTTCACCAAGATTGGTATGGAGGTTCATTAGGTCCATGCGGGGATACGTACGCATTTTTAGTTTTGCATTTTTCAAGTTTTTTTTATATATATATATTTTTTACAATTACATATAACGGTATCAACTTTTCATGTCCTAAGATAACCTTTAATTAATCATGAACTTAAATAACTTCCGTCCAGAGGGCGGGTTCTCCAGTTAGTTATAAAATAAGTTGACGGTTTTGTATTATATTCATAACATTTTTTATAAGTACTTAATATACATGCAAATCGGGCAACAATTTATGAAAAGCAAAAGGAGCCAAACAAGCAAATTATATTCTCGTTCAATTTATCTCATTAAAGCTGAGTCCAGTGGCAAAGTGAGAGCTCTAGGCCTACAACCCCCACCCCGGCTAAGAAAAACTGATATGGAGAGTACCCCCTAACTATATAGAACAAGTGGCCAAAGACAGCTGATAACTGAAAGTGTTTGCAGAAACTATAATGACAAAGGAACGTAAGATTATATGCGAAAACTAGTCTCTACTGAGCAAGATTACAATTCCGGCTAGTTATCCACAGTTACCCTATATGTGGATATTGGAACTACGAACGAGCCATTTATATTGTCTCGCAAGGTCGTCTAAAATCGTATGACTCTAGTTTTTCTAGGGGGAAATAACCTTGGTGGGTTAGGCGTTGCTCCCTCCCTAGCTTCAGGTTTTCAATTTAACCTCTGACTGAAGCCAGAAATTCACCTAAAAATTGTCTTTCATATGTCTGAAAAGATACAAATATACGCTAGGGATGACAAAAAAAAAAGGACAACACGATAACAATTCTTATTTGTTTGTTATCTATACTCTGCCCACTGTAGGTATCGAACCCCAATATTTTGCGTTATAAGTTCTCGGGCTTATTTTTTGATGAATTCAGAATTTTATAACGGGAAAATGGTCTTCAGAAAATGCTAATTGTAGAACAATCTCATCAGGAGAAATTTTAAAATAATAAAAAAAAGTGTTTCACGCCTAACTGCTGTGAAAATATCTGTTTTATTTAAACTACACGGGGGGAAGTGCACATTCGCCTCTTTATAATTTAAGATGGCCAATAAAAGTAACCTATGAAAAAGTGCTACTTACGAAAAAAGGGATTAATCCCATGGCTCGATCTTCCTATAAAAGAAAAAAAAACAAATCATGGATACCAAAAGTTGAGTTTTAGATAATCACAGTACAATTTCATATCAATTTCACAAGACACGTGTCCACTGAGGAAAATTCCGAACAGGAAAAAGTACACATTAATACAAATTAATACTTTAAATTGATTACCTTAAGTGTTAAGTGTCTAGGTTTATAATAACGAACTATATTTTCGAAGCATTATCATAGGAAGAATGTGATTAAATTGTTGATCCCCCCCCCCCGTACTCCCTCATTTT